CTTCTCCCCCAGTCTCCCTTTAGTTCTCTTGCCTTAGCTGCCTACATGACACACTCCTGCCTCCTCCTGTCTATGCACAGGGAGCACCTCCTCAGGGAGACCTCCCTTAACCCCTCCAGCTAAGAATGCACCACTGTCCTTCTTACTGCCTCCTGCTTCTCCTTAACCTTAGCCCATCAGTCATGCCATGTGTCTCCCTCGCATCGCTGTTTATAGTCTGTCTCCTCTGCTAAAGGTAAGTTCCTTGAGGGCAGGTGCTTTGTCTTGTCCAGTGTCCAGAGCAGGTATGAGCTAATCATGCTTGGCACAGAGCAGGTATGAGCTAATCACGGAATGAGTGACTAGAAGGAAGAAGGAGAGGGAGGAAGGGAGAGAGGAGGAGAAGGCCCACACTTGGGGTGACTCACAGTGGATGGTTAATTTGAGCGGGTCACTCCGCATCCAGCTGCCCCAGTTCCAGATCTCGCATTCTTAGGCCCTGTGTCACTCCACAGGAGGCCGCGGATGGCCAGGGTCCTATTGTTGGCAGACAGCACCAAGCGCTCACTAGGCAGGAGGGGCTGGTACCTCAGGAAACATTGGACCCCCGCCACCTCTTGGGTCTGGCAGGTCAGGGCCATGGAGCTTGAGGTCTCCATGAGATCCAAGCTTGGGGACATGATGTAAGTCTTGGTCAGCCTTTCTGAAAATACCTGGAGATACAGGGTGGGCTTTGAGGACACTTCCCCAGCCTCTTGCCCATGTGGGGGTCACAGGGTTTTCCAAGGATGTATGTATATGTGCTGTGGGTGAGGTGTGTATGTCTGTGCTTTGTCTGTAGCAGCACTGCATGAGTGGTATGTGTAAGTGTTTTTTGTAAGAGTTTGTGTTGGGTGTGTGTATGAATTCTGTGGGAAGCATGTGAATTTGTGATGGGCTTTGTGTGTCTAGAGATTGTGTAGTGTATGACTGTCTTTGCATATGTTGTATGTGTGTATGTTTGACACTGAGGTGTGGGTGGTATACATGTGTTCTTTGTATGTGTGTGGTATGTATATTTATATTATGTATGTATGTACACTTGTGGTATTGTGTGGTACTGTATGTCACATGGATGCATTGTATGATGTGTACATGTTTTGTGTATGATTGTATTGCACGTGAACTATGTTTATACAGTCAGTTGTGTGCATATGTTGAGGATGTTGAATGTGATGTGTTTTCTGTGTAGTGTGAGAGGATATTCATGTCTGTGATGTGTGTTGTTCATGCATGTTGTACACATGTCATGTGGCATGAGTTTTACGTGTGCTGTGTCTGTGTAATTGTGTGTCATATGTGAGACATGTGCATCCACGTTCTGTGTGTACTGCATGTGTCATGAACTTATGTGAGTATATATGTGTGTATGTGCTTTGGGTTTATGTGTACAGTGTATGTGTTATGTATGCGAGGTGTTATGTACTGTGTATGGTTTGTGTATCTGTAGTGTGCATGCTATATGTGTTTCTGTGAGTGTTGTCACATCTGTGATACTATATACTATGTGTGTTGCATGTGAGTTATATGTGAATGTGCTGTGCCTGTGTGATTATTTGCATGTGTGTCCTTGTGTATATGCAGTGTGTGAGTGTTATGTGAGTGTCTGTATGTATGCAGAATCAACCCCCATTCCCCTCCACACACACATTTCCAGAGATCAAATCATGGGCATCCCACAAAAAGCCAACAAGGGCTTGTGAAGGATGTGCTGAGCCAGGAAGAGTTCCATCCCTGTGACCAGAGCCCCACTCTGCCACCTGCTACACGGGAAGTCAGCACTCCTCTGTCCTCCCCCAAATCTAGGACACTGGTGTAGCTGATTCTCAGGCAAACAAGTACGGAACAGGGTAGAGACTCACCGAGGACTCGGACTTCAAGAGTACCCAGGTGGGACAGTTGGGTGACATTACTGGACACCAAGCACTTATACATGCCCTTGTGTTCCCTGGATGCAGCTGGATGGTGAATGTGGTTATAGTAGAAGATTGGACAGAGTCATTGGGGAGGAACCAGAAAAAGGCAGGGAGCGGGTAAGACTGTGTCTCCACTGAGAAGATCATGGTGGAGCCCTCCATCACCTCAACCACCTTCCCATTGGGTACACCAGGCTGCAACTTGATTTCTATGGTGTCAGGACCATCTAGGAGGATAAGAACAACCACAGCAACAGCTCTCTTTGGGGGAACTTAGAAGACCAATACAGACTAGCATTTCTTTTCCCCCACCCAAATTCTGGATCAATTACAGAGATGCAGAGGTCCAATGGAGATTAAAAGTGAGTATTATCATTGGGTAAAGCACAACTGGAAGACATGTCTTCTTTTTTTTTTTTTTGTGGGACCCTCGCCAGCGGCCGGGGAACGAACCAGCACTGCAGAGGCCGCAGGCAGCCTCGTAGCCCAGCGATCAACCGCTGCACCACCAGGGGAGGCCCTGGAAGACATGTGTTAAGCAAGCTGGCAACTGCTCTTTCCCCCCCAGGCAAGATTTTGAATCAAATATCCACAGGTGAAGGAACTCAGTTTTAGGGCTGTTAAGCTGGGTGTTTCCATCGGGATCCGAGTGGAAACATCAATTATATGCCTCAAGAGTAGATGAGTCCACATTTGGATGGTATTTAAAGCTGTGAGACAAAATTAGATCACCAAGGAAGTAGATGTCAGTGAGAGGCAGGGGAGAATGGAAAGGGACTCACAGTTCACAGTCAGGCAGATGAGATTACTGTTCTGGAACTGGACTCCACTCTGAACTTTACATTGGTAAGTTCCGAAGTCCTCTCGGTGGACAGTGAGGATGGTGAGGGTCTTGCCATCTGCTGACAGATGCATACGCTCGTGGATCACCAGGGGGAGGTTGTTGGAGACCCAGTGGATGGTAATGTTGACGTCATTGGTGTCACAGTGGAAGCTCACATTTTCTTTGTGCTCTATGACGGAGTCATGGCTGACTGTAATGGTAGGCTTGGCTAGCAATTCTACAGAAGGAGAAAAAGGGAAACAGAGGCAGAGACATAGAAAAACACCTGGCAAGAGTTACAGAGGGACCCAGACAGACATGAATGGATTGGAATTGTCAGAAGACTGTAGCTCAACGAATTGTCAGAACACTGTAGCTCAACGATTGGTTTCAAATGCCAGATCTGTTCACTCTAGGTGAGATACTGGGTAACTTACTTCCCCCCTCTAAGTCCCATGGAAAAGGGATTGTACAAATAAAGCAGAGGGTCTAGGACATGACAATTGGTCCATGCACATCAGCTTCAAAGAGAATCAAGCTTGTAGTAGGGATGCCAGTAAAGTTCCCCTGCCCACTTAGCCAACCTTTCCCAACACAGCCATGACAGCAACCGTCCACTGCTTTACCCCTGCCCCAATATGACTGAGCAGACCAGTGGTTGCTGGACACTGGCTGAACTAATCAGATATGTCCTGATGGGGGCTAGAGGTGTGGAGGAAACCTGTGTTTTCTGTGCCCACACCTATGAATCTGCCATGAATCCAAAGGGTGTCCAATGGGGGATGTCCCAAACAGACAGAAAACATCCTTCTTACTTTGGGTGGTGTTAACTAGGTTGGCATCGAGGGTGAGCTGGGCTGTAGCTGGTAGACTCCACATGGTCAAAAGTGAGGCTGGGAGGGGGAGAAATGAGGCAGTGATGGAGCGAGAGGTGTGTTGGGAGTGTCCAGTTATGATCTCCATACATAGAGAGAGGTCTGGGGTCATGAACGTGACACTCCACCGCTAGTGGTTTGACTTCTACCCACTCGTTACTGGCCACATGACTTGCAACATGTTTTTATCCTCTCTGAGCCTCAGTTCCCACAAATGTAAAATGGGTATACTACCACCTGCATCTTGGGGTGTTGTGGAGGGATAATAAATATTGGGGAGTTTTAACTGTTAGTCTCCTCTTTCCACACATAGCAAAACAGATGCTTCAAGAAGTGAGGTCATTTTCCAAGATAGTATTGTAAGTGGTAGAAACCACATGAACTTGGCCTGTCTGCCCTAAAGCCCGTGCTCTCAACACCGCATCATTCCTCTTGTCAGCCCCAAGATGGGCGTAGAACCAACCCTTGATTCGTGGGAGTTTCTTCCATTACCTTGATGGGAGAGCTTAACCCTTGGTACTTCCTTAGACTGGGCTCAGGCAGAGGTTTCCCTTACACGGGGAAGGAGAGGCACGGGACAGCAGGAGTTTGCAGTTTTCCATCTGGCCATTTTGCATGCAGGTATGGAGGCTCAGAGAGACTGGGAGCTGCCAGGTTCATGGACGGCTGACCCGGACGGACATCCCCCTCACACTTTCCATCATTAAATTAACAGAGGCTGCCAGCCACGCCCCTCAAGAAAGACTCCAATTTGGCCCAAGCACCATCCCTCCCCTGCTCAGGCAGGACAGGCACCCTTGGGATATTTGGGAGCAAACATGGTCTCTGATGGTTACAGGCTCTATTGTCATGGGCAAGGGTTTTTTCCTTGGTGAGCCTCAGTTTCTTCAACTGCAAAGAGGGAAGAATAAGCTTAGCTCATCTGGTTGCTGTGTGGTCTGATGAGACAGCAGAGGAGACAGGCTTTAAACAGTTCAGAACAAGTGTTCAGTCACCACCGCCACCATTGTGGTCAGTGCCTGTATCTCTGTCTCTCCTGCTATTAGAGGTCAGCCCAATGGGCTCAGAGCCTGGTTTGCACCCCGGTTTTGCCATTTATTTGGGCAAGTGATGCCCTCTTTCTGAGTCTCAACTTACCCCTTTGTACAAGTAGGTGTTAACAGTTCCTGCCTCCTCTGACAGTCATAAGAATAAATGAAGTGAGCCGAAGCACTGATGCCAGGCCTCATTACACCCATCCCACAGAGGAAAATTCCCTCTACACCGTCTTCCCCTGACCCTTTCCTTCCTGCTTCTTCCCCAGAGGGTCCTGCCTTCACTGCAAACCTTGCAGAGAAACCCAAAGACACAGCTGGTAACAGCCCCCGAGGAGGACTGGGGAGCCCCTGCAGCCTGCCAGAGTCGGCCAGGCTCAGCCCAGAGGAAGATGGGCCTCGGCTCAGGGCCGCACGGCCAGGTTGAGGCCTTCCTCTGCACCCTACACATTGCAAAATCATTTCCATCCCTCCGAGATACTTAGCAAAATATTCTGGTCTCTCCTTTTTTGCCTTAGATGCCCTTTAAGCATAAAATTCACATCCATCCTGTCGTGCTATGGGACCTGGCCATTTAGGGCTGGCACAGCCTCCCCTCCGTGCATCCCACTCCTGTCTGACTGTCTCTCGGCTACGTTCCGGCTCTTCCCCATCTCTCTGACTTCCCTGTCCAACCATGGGGATCCCCGAATCTCTGCATGTCGTACTGTTTCTTGCAGTCTCTTTGTACTCTGTCTTCCTTTTTCCTATCCATTTCTCCCACGTTCCCCTCAGCTGAACTTTTTACTATGATACATTCTTATTCTCTCTCCCTCCTTTTCTCTCTCTCTCGCCTCTCCCTCTCTCCTCTCTCCCTATCTCTCTCTCTCTCCATCTCTGTCTCTATATCTTGGTCTCTGGCCTCTGTCTCTAGGTACCTTTGTCAAGATTTCTTTAAAAAAATTAAGATTGGGGCCTCCCTGGCGGCGCAGGCGGTTGAGCACCGCACTGTGAAGCTGTCCGCAGCCTCTGCAGTGCGGGCTCGATCCTGGCCAGCGAGAATCCCACATGGCACAGCAGACCTCTCCTGCCTCGCCCGCTGCTCCCCTCAGCAGTGTATTTCATCAGTCTGCCTGTTCTGTTCCCCACTCTGTCTCTGGTGAATCCTCTCACCCTCCCACACATCTGGCCTGTACCCCGGTTCTTGTATAAATAAATAAATCTTTTTAAAAAATTAAAAAATAAAGTTCTATTTATTTAACACTGCTTTGCAATCTAGACAAATTTCAGGGGTACAGCTTCACCTCACCTACCACCAAAGTTTTATTTCCTTTCCACTATCAGGATAACACCATCTACCTCTACCCTTTCCTTCCACCCCTCTTCTCCTGCCAGTTTCTTCTGTATTTGTCTTTATTTCTATGTCTCCCTCTGTCTCTATTTCTTTCTGTGTCTGTTTCTCTTTCAAGCATATGTACACACACCTGAGGGGAGCCCAACACTCACCTGAGAACAGGATTCCTGCCCAGAGGTGGCCCTGTAGGTCAGTGGGCCCCATGGGTCCAGGCATCTGACTTCTGTGTCTTCCTATCTCCTGGCTGCCCCACTCAGACACAGTCCTCCAGCTCCTCCGTGTCCCCTCTGTCCTGCTGCAAACTTACAGGTGCCTGGAGACAGCGGCTCAGAAGGGGTGGTGGCAGGGGCGGAACTCCGACCCGCCTATGCACTCCACCCAGGACTCATTTCCTTCTCCACCCAGCACAGACACAGCTCCTGGGACCCCGGGCTTCTCAGAGGTGGGAAAGGAGAAAGAAAACCCTGCTCTTTGGCTCTTGGGGTCCCTTGAGAGTCGTGCTCCTCTCCCCTTCCTCATATCCCATATGAGAGTGGCCAAGAAGAGGCAGAGCTGGGGAGGAAGAACTAAAGAATGTTAAGAGTTCAAGAGCAGAAACTGAGCCGATGAGGGTTAGCAACAGTGATGACAATAAAAACAGTAAGTTGGCTCCTGGTGTTGACAGCTTGTTAATATAACCAGGTCCAGTGCCAAGGTCACTGACAGCAGCCTGAAAACATGAAATGGGTAGAAATGACATTTGTGAGATTGATTCCTGGTCATAAACAAAGGGCAGGAAGCACAGAGAGGCCCAAAATCCTTGCTCTTCTACCTGCTAACTGGCTGGCTTTGTCCTCTGAGAGGATAGTTGTGCATTTTCAGGGGCTCTGGAGTCACAAGAGGGAGGCTGGTGTCCTAGTTCTCCAAGCCCTCGCTGTGGCTGGTTGGTAAGCTTACATTCCATTGGCAGAGTGGGATAAAGTAACAGTCTCCCTCACAAAATGTGAGGCTTAAATGAGTTGATGCTGGGGAAGTGTGTGGAACAGTGTGTGGCCCAGAGTTAGTGCCCAATGAGTGTGAATCACCACATGACAGGCTCTGTGAGGAAGGCATGCAGGTGCTCACTCAAGCTCCATAGGTGCTGGCTCCCCGCTGAGCTCTACAGGCACCAGCTCCCTGCCGAGCTCTATAGGTGCCGGCTCCCTGATGGGTTTTATATACCATTTTACATACATTTCCTAAGCACTGTTGTAGGTGCTGGGAACACAGCAGTGGACACAGCAGACAGCCCTTTCTGATGGGGAAAGAGATATCAACAATAAACATAAAGAGGGCCTCCCTTGGCGCAGCCGTTGAGCGCTGGGCTGCGAAGCTGCCCGCGGCCTCTACAGAGCCAGTTCGATCCCCGGCTGCTGGGCGAGGGTCCCACATGGCGTGCAGACCTCTCCTGCCATGCCTGCTGCTCCCCTCAGCAGTGTATTTCGTCAGTCTGCCTGTTCTGCTCTCCGCTCTGGCTCTGGTGAATTCTCTCACCCTCCCGCGCTTCTGACTATACCCAGTGCTTGTATAAATAAATAAATAAATCTTAAAAAAAAAAACACCAATAAACATAAAGAGGTGAATTGCAGGGGAGAGGTTAGAAGGTGATGTACACTAGGGAGAAGTGCCCAGCAGAAGGTAAGGGGTGCCACGCTTTCATCTCATAACTAAGAATGTCAAATCTCACAGAGGTGGCTGGCTTCCCTCAAGTCAGGGGCATCTTGGGCCAGGAATTCTGGTCTCTTAACCTTCATGGGTACCACCTTTCCAAGATCCTCATGTGGCTTTTGGCTACCCACAGCCCCATCTCCTCTGTACTCCAGATCAATCAGTGCCTGTGGCCGTATCATCCCACCACATCCCCAAGCTCTGTGGCTCCCTGGGCTGCGGGCACCTGGTACAGACCCTCGAATTGTCATTCATTCACACTTTTCGAAATTTGAGTCTTCTGACTATTCATCCACTCCCTCTCCTCACCCTGGTTTCCCTTCTGACTGCCTCTGCTCTGGCTCAGCCTCACCCAGAGGCCCCCACTTCCTGCCCTCTGCCCCACCCAAGAGCTGCCACCAGAGTGGACTTCCCAAATCTGCCCCTTCTTGCAGAAGTTGCTTCTCTCCCTAATCCCCACCCTGTGGCATGTTCCATCCTTGCCTGCCCCACAAGAAAGGGACTTTCTGGGCCCTTTTCCAATAATCATGACTTCCACGTTCTTTCCAACAGGTGAAAATAGACCCAGGTCCTTCCTGGCTCCCCACCCCCACTTACTACTGTCTCGCCATGCAGCCTGGCTCAAAGCTGTGTCTTTCCAGGCAGCCTGAACTGACCTCCCACCTGGTTCTGAACTTAGCATTAGCTGCCCTCTCTCTACCTTCAATTCCTTTTTTCTTTTTGAAAATGGAAGCACTGGGTATCCTCCTGGACCCTCTTCCCCCAACTCACCTCCATTACTCAGTCACCAAACCCTGTGGGTTCTATCTGTTAAAGAGCTTTGTTATCTGCACACCCTCTCTCCACCCCACTACCCCGTCCACTACCCGTGAGAACGGCCTTCCAAATGGAAGGGTGTGAGGAGAGCAGAGTGTCTTCTGGCCAGAAACCGCCATGCAATGGGGCAAGAGTCAGTCATTTGTGACAGAAACATGAGAAAAGGATGCTCTCTTGCTGGTAAGAATGCAACATGGTACACTTGTTATGTAAGGTAATTTGACAATATCTGACCATCTGTGAGTGCATTTACTTTTCAAGCTAGCAATCCCACTTTTAGAAAGTGAGTTTGAAGAAATACCTAGCACACACATGCATAAGGTTATTTGTTACAGCGTTGTCATTGGAAAACACTGGAAACTACCTAAATGTTCAAGCCTAGGAGAATGGTTGAATAAATTACGGGACCTTTACACAAGGGACTATTATACAACTGTGAAAAAAGAGGAAACTCATTATGAACAGACATGAGGTGATTTCCCAGACATTCTGAAAAGTGGGGGAAAACAAAAACAGAAGAGTATTTACAGTCCACTAACTGTTGTAAAAGAAAAAAAAAGGACAATAACAAAACATGCACATATCTGTTTATCTTCACCAACTCCCCACCCGCCCACACACAGGAAGGATAAGCCAGAAAATAACAAAGTTGATTGCCCACAAGGGGTTGGAGGAGGTCGGGTAGAAGGGATATGGGAAGGGGAGAAACTTCCCTGAATATATCCTTCTGTGTAGTTTTCAATTCTGAAAACATGTTACTATTCTACATATTAAGCTGATTAAGTTAAGTCACTAGGAACTGGATAAGAGGGAGAGAAAACCAAAAAGGAAACTAAAGCAATGAGCCTAAGTGTATTTCAGGTGACACACATAATCCCTGAAGAAAAACAGGAGGTGGGGAAAGAGGGAGGGAGAGAGAAAAGAGGGAAGGAAGAACCCAAGTAATTTATGATTCAACTAAATACACTCACTTTTGGCAGAGTAGGGAAGGGCACAGCAAATAAATTCTAAACTCTTCTTAGGAATTTGTGTGTGCATAGCGGCATAGCTAAAGCAATTCTAAAACAATTTTAGGGCTTTCCCTGGTGGCGTAGGTGGTTAAGCGCAGAGCTCTGGGGCTGTCCGCAGCCTCTGCAGTGGTGGTTTGATCCTGGCAGGCAGGCGAGGGTCCCACGTGGCTCAGCAGATCTCTCCTGTCTTGCCCGCTGCTCCCCCCAGGAGTGTGTTTCGTCAGTCTGCCTGTTCTGTTCCCCACTCTGTCTCTGGTGAATCCTCTCACCCTCCCGTGAATCTGGCCTGTACCCCGGTTCTTTTTTTTTTTTTTTAAAGATTATTTATTTATTTATACAAGCACTGGGTACAGTCAGAAGCGCGGGAGGGTGAGAGAATTCACCAGAGCCAGAGGGGAGAGCAGAGCAGGCAGAAGGACCAAAGCACACTGCTGAGGGGAGCAGCGGGTGGCAGGAGAGGTCTGCGCGCCATGCGGGACCCTCCTCCGGTGGCCGGGGAGCGGCCGGGGATCGAACCGGCGCCACAGAGGCTGCGGGCAGCTTCGCAATCCAGCGCTCAACCGCTGCGCCACCGGGGAGGCCCTACCCCGGTTCTTATATAAATAAATGAATGACTAAATCTTTAAAAAAAAAAAAACCATTTTAGATATAATGAACAAAGTACTAAATTGGGCTAATGAGTAAATGTGTTAATACTGTTTGGAGCCAGGGTTCTCACACAAAGAGCAGACATACAAATATGGACGGGGGAAGGCAAGAAAGAGCCTGGGGGTTGAGATATTGCTGTCAACTCCTGATGTCTAACGTAAGCATAATCGCTCATATGTGCGTGTGTGTGCACACGTGCATTTGTATGTGCTGTGTGTGTACAGGTTTGTATATGTGTTCACGTGTACCCACATACATTTATTTCCTTGCTCTGCCCACTGATTGGGCCTGGAAACAAAGGCACCCCTCCCATTCAGCAGAAATGTGCACACCCCATCTTGTTCTATACTACTTCCCCTAAAAGGAGCTCCTTAGAGAAGTGGCTGATCCAGGGTTGCAGCAAGATATATCAAATGAGCCTGGAATATCTCATGCCAGAAGGGACAGAAGTGCTTGGGGGTGGGACTGTCACAAGGGAGATTAAAGAGGCTCCACTGGCCAAATCGAGAATAATTCAAGCACCTATATATTACTGACAGTGATGTTAAAAACAGAATTAAAATAAAAATACATGGGTGTACACTGATGAAAGGTAGAGAAATACAAAGGATAGATACAGGTAGTTAGGTAGATTAAGGCTGGTGGGTGTGTTGGTGGGTGCATGGGTGGATGGATGGATGGAAAAAAGGTATGTTAGACAGACAAGACAGGTAGGCAGACAGGTTAAGTGACACAGACACACACAGGCATATACAGAGAATGAGAAAAAGTGGGTGGGTGGCTCTTGCTTACTAAAGAGTCCCAGCTGTTAGCTGGTCAGTGTGGAGAGAGAGCTGGCCTTAGAAAAGCACCATTTGCAACCCTCTTAGTAAAGACCTCCAAAGCAAGACTCATCAAGAGATGCCAAATCTCAGCGGGGTGTGGAATAGGAATAGCCTTAAAGTGTCTCCCCACTGAATGCTTGTTTGTGCAAGGGAGGAAAAAGGGATCAGTAATTACTGTGTGGGGTAACTGGGGAAACCTTGACTGGGTGATTACAATGAACATTGCCAGGATGGACAGGCGGAACTCATGTCCCCTCAGGCACAGTGCCCTGAGGACACAGCATCACAGGTATGGTGTTCGGGCTGAGAATGTCTAATTCCATCTAATCAAGAGGCAGCACCAGACAAACAAAATGAGAAGTGCTCTAATTTGTAAAGGGAAGGGAGGGGGTGTGTATTCTTCAAAAAATGTCAGTATCAGGGGCCTCCTGGTGGTGCAAGGGGTTAAGCACCACACTATGAGGCGGTCCGCAGCCTCTGCAGCATGAGTTCGCTCCCCAGCCAGCCAGGGAGAAACCCACATGGTGCGGTAGACCTCTCCTATCTCGCCCACTGCTCCCCTCAGCAGTGTATTTTGGTCAGTCTGCCTGTTCTGCTCCCCACTCTGTCTCTGGTGGATCCTCTCACCCCCGCATCTCTGGCCTGTACCCCAGCTCTTGTACGCATAAATAAATAAATCTTTAAAAAAAAAGTCAATATTGAAGATAAAGAGAGGGACAGCACCAATTAAACAAGGCTAAGGAGACAAGGCACCAAGGGCACTACCTGGCCATAAGCTAGGTTCGGTCCTGGATGTGGGGAAAGAGACGATCATATTGCATTTTCTTGCAAAGTTGGAATATGGATAAGGACTGTAAACTGTTGAAGTCCACATCAGCAGTTGTAGAAAAGGACGTCCCTGTTCTCAGGAAACATTTATGTGCTCAGGAGTGAAGGGCCAGGGTGTTAGTAACCTACTCATCATGGGGATTTGTGGGGTGGGGGGGCCGGGGCGAGGGTGGGTAGTGAAAGCACACTGGGGAAAGTGGGAGTGAAAATTACCTTAGTTGAGGGCAACTTTTCCCCCTAGTGGCCACTCACGGCACTGCCCCATTGGTGCCAGGACATCAGGCAAATAAAACCTCAACATCCTCATACACAAAGAGCTCCTGAAAAGCAATAGGAAAAGAAAAACAATGCAATTTTTTTTAATGGGTAAAATATGTGAGCAGCACATTTCCAAAGACATCACACTAGATCTATCGATTAACTTAGGAAGAGATAGGAAGCTTCACGAGTGATGGAAATGCCATGCGACAATATTGAGCTACCAATGTTTATACACAGGCGCCCCCCCCCCAAAAAAAGGAAGTATTAATTCTATCTGGCACTGGGCACCTCCAAACACTGTCAGAGAAGGTAAATTGACTGGTCTCAGGAAGGCCTGTTCTTCCTGAGGGTGGGACTGGGTCTTAGCCATCTTGGGGAGGCCAAACGTGATGTGTGGGTGTCACTCCCACTGGGAAAGAAATTTTCTCACTCCCCGTTCTATACCTGCACCTGCACAGGCCCACCTGTAGCAAAGTTCAACTACTCTTTTATAAGGTGGAAGGATTAATGGTGAAGGAATGCATGAGCGATTGACAGTCTCTGAGGCTGGAACCTGGATGCAGAGTCCTCGGTGGCTCTGGCCTGTCTCTGTAGGAGCCGAAACCAGTGTTTTGTTCTTTGACTCTCTGCCCCAATGGTGATCCTGGGAGCCCTGAGTCATCATGACCTGGGCCTCCTCAGCCTCGGGGAGAGTTTTAGGGCTGCACTGTTCTGCCTTTAGGGTGTCCTGGGCTCTCAGTGCCTGGAGTCACATGTAATCCACTGCCAGGAACCCTGGACTTTTCTGCACTCTCTGCTCTTCCATGTTGCCTATCTTCCTCCCCCTTCATTCCAGCAGGCACTGCCACACCCTACACAGTTTCCTCCACCCTGCAGCCCCCTCAGACACTCCCACTGCAGGCTGACTGCTCTGTTCCCTTCCTACTGACACCTGTGAGACCTGCCGTCTTGGGTATGGAAAGGACGCAGAATTTGTAGGAGCAGCAGACACTTGAGTCTCCATCAAGACCAATTTTCCAGGACACAGGAGAACCAGATTTCACTGGATCTTTGTCCATTGGCCTCCATGATGCCAACATGTGGAACATGCACACACAACAAGGGCATGCGACCCTTAATCAACTCTGTATAACTCTACATGGAGTGTAGAGGAGGACAGGTCTGCAGTCCCCAGAACCTCAAAGGCTCAACTTCCCCCTTGCACTCCTGACTCTTGGTCCTGCTGTGAGGCTCCTGCTCTTCCCAGGGGCTGCCCAGATCTCCTGGTGGGGAGTGGGGGTTGGGCCAGACCCTGTGCCCTCTGACTGGTCACTGGCATTTCACATGCATGTGGGGGCTCATGAGGACACCTTGACCACAGAGTGGATGCTCTCGGACCCAAGACCCCCAGTCACACTTCTTTCATTAGACTGTCTATTTTGACTTAAGGTCACATTCACTCCAGCTGCTACATGTTGCTGGTCTCAGATGCTCCATCTCCACAGTGGAGGGGCCCCTGAGTCCCTCAGAGGATGGGCTGTGGACATGTGGGGAGGGTGGGAGCACAGGATAAGCTCTCAGGAATCAGTTATTTCCTTCACGTGATCCTCCTCACAAGAACATACCTGAAACACACCTGGAGTGTGGAAGCCCTCAGTGCCTCCTGCTCCAGCACCCACGCTTCCCCACAGTGTGCTCCCCACCCCTCCACCCACACAACCTCACTGCCCTTCCCACAGGTAAGTCCAGATTGTGAGCAGGAGAAATCAGTGCTTTTTTAAGAAAACCATGAAGGTTAATAGCCAGGAACCCTTTAAAACATTTCAGGGAGCACTGAAAACACAGAGCAATCTGAAAGGACCCCACTTAGCAAGTGTCATCATTTGGGCACCAAAAAGCAATAAGGCCTATAAAAATTATTCGCAAAACTGGATGGAGTGAGTAACATTCAAAGGAAGAGAAGACACATCATTACATCAGATTGAGTCCAAATTAAAGGATGAAAAAGCCTGGAAAAGTGAAAACAGAAAAGACAAAATAAGACAAGAGCAGGAAGTGCAGATTTTATTGGGAAGAGGACATGCACTTATCAACTCAGCTCCAGCGTCTGTTAAGATCGGGTATGATTATGAGTGGTGCACTTCTTAGCTGCTATTTACATGACACAAGTAACCACAACAGGGAGGTGTTTGCACATCCACAACTAAGAAGAGGCCTTGTTTTTTAGGCAGCTGCATTCTATACCCTGGTGGCTGCACATTGGAATCTTCCACTCAGGATTATACTGATAACAAATTAGCTTGATTCCAAGATTCTGCTATAAACTATGCCTGCAGCAACAACTGTGATTAGGTGTCATTTTGCTGACGTGGACACTGGGGGCAGAGCGGATGTCTATGTTTGATTTGGGTCAGCACGGACAAACAAACGTCACTCCACAGGCTTTGCACAAATGTTCATGTCCCTCAGAAAAGGAGGGAAACATGATTCTCACCACAATAGTTCCACACATTGTTTTCAAACATATGGACTTGGCCACCTGCATCCGGGACACCAGAAATAAAATAGTGTTTAACTAAGGAGAGCGAATCGCTGACCTGCAGACAGAGCAATCGACCACGAGATGGCGCAATCGACCACCCAACTTCTGCATGAGACACTTCAGGGACTTCAGAGCGGGGGAACAGAGGTTGGGCCGCCCAGAGGGTCCAGATAGTGTCCACAAGATATGCTGCTTTGACATGTGGATTATTCAGTCGAAGCTCAGTGGAGGCCTTGGGACTCAGGAAATTCTTCCCACCCACTTCACACTATCTTGAAGAATATAAACTAGGGGTCTTGCCCAGAAATGGGACGTGGCCACAAATACGGTCACTATCTGGGTAACCTCTCCACAAGGCAGCTTAACCGTCTACTCAAGAACCACTCTTCCTCCTGTGTGACACCCTCTCATCACTATGTGAGTTCCCCTCTGCTCTCCCTGAGACCAGGCACCAGCCCATCCTGAGCTGGGGGTGGAAGGTGGCATGAGCAGCACGGGCAATCACCTCAAGAAGAAAATGTGCACAACAGGCACTGCTAAAACCAACTTAGTTATTTGTTCTTCCTTAAAAGAGTTCTGGAGTTCAATGCATT